GTCAACATCCCCGAGGGCGGTTGGGAAGCGGATTAAGTAGAGTAGGATGATGAACGTGATGTAAGGATATGATTTCGACGCAGCGTCAGAGTCCAGGTAAACATCCGTGAGCGTTTTGGTAGGGCGCGCGCAATCTGAAAAGGCCCCCCCTTCCCAGATGTCGAATCTGGAAAGGAAACTAGAAAGCTATCGGAGTTTCAAACATGCTTCTGAGAAGCGCCGGAAGCAACCGGCCCGGTTTAGGAAATGGTAATCTAGTATCTGGAAGCTACAGGAAGGCGTCCACTGAACCGGACTGCGACCATCCCTAATCGGGACCTGTCCCGAGGTCATAACAACGACGTATGAAATGCTGTGACTACTGGATGGGGTGAACGTATCTCACCTTACCACTCCAGCACCAACCTCCCGGGATAATCTCAAACGCCGCTTCTAGACCGGCCTATATTGATTAACTGAAGTATGTGGAGCATGGCGACGTTTGTCATGGCATGGGCGACAAGCACAGCTATCCGTCTATGGGTATGTGCCAGCGGACGGATAAATCTATTCCTGGGGTGGGCTGTTGCCATGTCAACTCGGGGTCATGGGAACCGATCGCGTGTGAGGGGAGAGTCGTCTGGTCTAGCTATATCCTGCGCTCAATTGAAAGTGGACTGCACTTTTCATCATGTCCCACTGAAACATGATTCATGGCATGGCCGATGCATGTCTATGCTAAATGCAACACAGGTATTTACAGACAATAGAAAAACCCTTTCAGGCCAGTGGTCAGCGCCTCAGGATTCCTCTTTACTTAAATATGCTCAAGAGCTGGAGCCAGAATGACCATACCCCCGACTCGCGCGCTGGTCGCCGTTCTTCACTCTTTCGTGAACTACGCCCTCACACTATTCTATGACATGCAAAGTATGTCGTTTTGTTGTGGACATGACTGGTTTTGCTGACATGACGTTACAGTATGGAAATTACTGCTGGCAGTCTTTTCCATTGTTCCTATCGCTTGCGCACTTCCCATCGACCGCCGCCCCCGCAATGTCATGGTCGAGCACGCATCCAGTACTAATGTGGAAACAGACTTAAATACCGGCGGCCCTCTTCATGATGCTCTTCCACCCTCTTTATATGACGATGACTTATTCCTGGATGAAGATGACGTGTTCATGGATGACGATGACTTGATCCTGGAGATCCGCGACCCAATTTGCTTCATTTGTAAGAGCGCCAAACCTGGCCCTCTTGGTGGGAAAGTCACCAGGCCCGCACGCTGTACCGCACATGGCATCCATGCCGCACATTTCACTTGTGACAAGTACGCTACGGACCGAACGTGTCCTGATCACCCTGGACAATGCACTGGCAGGCCCACGCCGCAATCCGCACCGGTGGTACGTGTTGGCCCAAACGAACCTTGCCTCGTGTGTCACTCAGCCAAACCCCGGCAACTCGGTGGGCGAGTCACCCGACCGATTGGGTGTGACAAAGGTCGCCAACATTGGGCACATAGCTCGTGTCTCCCCAATGTGGCCAAAATACCCCCCCCGTGTGACGATCCCCACTGCCTGCACACCCGCACTGTAAGGAAGCCCTATGCACACGCTCCAACTCTGTCGAACCCCTGGAATCACCCCCATTTAGTCCTGGCACAGCCGCAGGACCCATCATCCTCGGCCACCGGTGCACCGCAGCCATCCAGGATGACCCAACCCCACGAGTACGGCTTTGTGGGTGGCGCCGGCATGGACAGAACCACGGGTCGACACTCGCAGTCTTCACACGGCGCTGGCGCGTCGACTGCTGGGACAAGCAGGCAAACATCCACCGCGCAGCGTGGTGGACCCACCCCCGCCCAGCATCCAAACTCCGCATACATGTCCATGACACCAAATAATCCTGTTGTCAGCCAGTCGCACGACCAATCCTGGAATCTGCATTCGTCCATGCATCCCAAGGCACCGCAGGCATCCGGTTCACACTTGCCAAATCCATACGGCACGACCCCCGACCACACTGCTGGGCGTCCTGGTCACAGCGGCTGGCCGCAGCAATCATCCTCGAACCCTCCGGACCAGTTGCACGTGCCTTGGGAGGGCCCTGGGAGAAGCGCGCCATCACTCCCGTCCTCCCAATCGTCAGCCTATTCTTTAACCCACCCCTATCAACCCATGCAACAGACCACCCACCGTAACCCCTCTGTGGGTGGCGCCGGCTTCAACGCAAACGCGGGCCCGCAATATCCACACCCGAATGTGTCTCAGTACATGCCTCCTCTTGGTGTGTACGAGGCACCGCCGCAACAATACGGGACGCACCAGACCTACCGTAACACCCCCAACGACGGCTTCAACGCAAACCCGGGCCCGCAATATCCACATGGCCTGACCGGGGCCCAATTGCACGGGGGTCCGGAATTTCAGGTCGGTGGGAGCAGCATGCAACAACCAAACCCGTCCTCCTCCCATCGTTTACCCTCGTATGATTCCCTTTCCGGAAAATGCCTTGTTTGTGGCAAGGAGACGGAACAACTGTCCTTATGCGCTAATATGGAGGGACACTATGTCCACCACGATTGTGCGAATTATTGGAGGAGCATCGATCCGGAGCATTGCCCAGCTGGAGGATACTGCAAACAAGCCGCCCAAATCGACATGCGCTGACCGCGGCCCAATGTAGGGTTAGAGACGAAACAACTGTCCTTAGGGTTAGGGTTAGGGTTAGGGTTAGGGTTAGGGTTAGGGTTAGGGTTAGGGTTAGGGTTAGGGTTAGGGTTAGGGTTAGGGTTAGGGTTAGGGTTAGGGTTAGGGTTAGGGTT